GGGGGGGGGGCGGGTTTATTAATCCGGTCTTGTCATTATCATTGGATCACCAATGTCCTGCCCTCGTACGGTGGAGAAAATCCCATCCGCATCCTGAGGGCACCACACATCGCCGGAACTACTCGGCTGCGATCCAATACATCGTCAATGAGGACGACATTCATTTTGACCAGGCTCACTGTTGAAGAACACATACGAAGGTAAGCGGTACACCAAAGGTATTCGGTATTGATGCATGTGAAGACCCTGGATATACCAAAAGGGATAGCCCCGAGTAGCCAGCTCAAAGGGCGCTCTTTGATTGTTCCGCTCTCTTTCTCCGCAGGACCCAACCCACCTGGCAGAGTTGCGGCACTCGTCGCTGGGCGCGGCAGTTGGAGCCGAATTCCACGTACCTCAAAGAAAATCTAAAAGCGATGGCCTCCAACCTACTAGCAATGGCTTCCAACCTAATGGCGATGGCCTCCACCTAATGGAAGAACATCTAGTGAAATCTAGTGCAATTGACACGGCATAGCCGGGTATGAAGCCTATGGGAGTAAACAGGATGTTCTAGGCGATAATTAGCGTAGCGGCGCAGCGGCTTAGCGGCGGTGCAAACTTTTTCAACCTGTCCCGAGTAGACGATGATTTTCCCAACAAGGGCGACAACTTGGTGAACGTGTTGAACAACATTTCTTGGGGAGGCAACTTGGAGATGGAAAGTGCTTTTCATAAAAGTAATATTTTTCTGATAACACGAGATGGCTTAGCCCCTCGAACAGAGTGGGTTGTACTGTGCACCCACGCAGCCCGCAGAATCATGCATTTTCAGGAAGCATCATGCACTGACCAGGGCGCCAAAAGATTGTTTCCGTACTTGAATGACTGCGGGATCCGAATTCATAAGTCTGGGAAAAGGAACAGTAGATCCTGAGCTGTTCAGTTGCTTAAATACTCCATTGGACGATTCTGTAAACACTCTTGAGAGATCTTGAGATGGGTTGCCCATTGGGTGCTTCCGGGAATAAACCTGGATGGATGGATGTTCCAGTATTAAACCCATCTGTTTTTTTTGTTTGTTTTTTTTTTTTTTTTTAAATTATATATATATATTTTTAAAGGCCTTTGCCCAACCCCTGAGGCTGCGGAACCTGTGGCGGCACTTTAACCAGAAGTTCGACTACCCGGTGCCCTGAAGCAGTCGCTCCAAGACGATTCCACAGATCCCCTGTCTCAACCGGTCGGTGGTTTTCGAAGACTTCCTCTTTTTGTGGATCTGTTCCGATCTGTTCTGCAAGGAATCCCCGTTTGTAGCGTCCGATCGGCGCGAATCCGAGACTCTTCGTTCGGCCCAGATGTCCTCAAGCTGCCCATGCGGATCTTCACCGCCAAACTCAAAACCGAGGATCTCGGACGTGAGCGTGTCAGGTACAGATCTTCCATGATGGGCACGGGCGCCCGGATTTTCGTGTAGTCGGTCAGACCGTCGAGCCTGGTTCAGCTGATAGCCCAACGAACCCCAGAGGAGAGCCCCAATGGAGAACTCTTTTTCTCACAAACTGGGCAAGGGCGCCTAAACTAAACATTCTCAATGTCCTGGATTTGGGGAGGAGATGTTTCCCACGAATCTCAACATCGGCAGGCTTGCCTACTCCTTAGGCTTCGCGACCTGTTCATCAGGCGATCAAGGTTGGCTTTTTGTCAGTCTTTTGGTTTCGAGGTTCAACAATTTTACGCTTTTGTCTCCACCGTTTCTACGAGGAGTGAAGAAACGGAGCCAGGAATCCCTTGCGAGGAACACCGAGCACTTCACAGCCTGTTCACTGTAGCAAGTTGCGGACGACCCGGAAGCAACATGTATCCGTGAAGCGGGTCACGTATCTTGCGGGCCAGAGCATGCTGTGTTTTTTTTCCACAAAATACTGGTTGGAAGCTAATAGAATGGAGGCCCGAGGCCCTCGCTAGCAGGTTGGAGGCCATCGCTACTAGGGTGGAGGCCATCGCTAGTAGGTTCTGGTGTATGACTCAGAGGAGTTCGGAAGTGCCACCTACCATGCGCATTCACATCCGCTTCCTCATTCGCTTGTGTTTCACCACACAGTGTGGTGGGTTTGGGCCGCTGACGGGTCACTTTCGGGCTTATTGCGCCGCTGGATGGCCACATTGGTGGCCACACGTAGACATCGGTAGGATGTTTACAAATGTATACAAATGTTACAAATGTCCTTGTAAGTCTTGAAGTTGCACTTGCTTTGTGGAGGTTCTACTCACCCTGTCCTTGAACATTGGGAGCCACTCTGCCAGCTCCAAGCTCCCAAGAGGACCCCCCACCTGTCCTGCCTGTAGCAACACGGGCCGCGCACGTGTTTGCAGAGAAGCACGGACTCAGAAGCGCGTCCACTCCGGACGGCTTCCCCCCCGAATTCATTGGCCATGATCGGTCCCAAAGTGACCGATTTCCGAAAACCTGGAGGCTTCGATGGTTTCCAAGCGCTGTTGAAGACCGTGAGCTCGATTTTTCGCAATCACTTGGGCGTGCTTGTACACCAACGCGCGGAGCTTCTGCCGGGGGCTTTTGAGCTCAAGGGCAAAGTAGGCCAAGCTTCACCGGCAGTGCAGTGAGGGTCCCCAGCTTGGAGAGTTGGAGTTCGGATGCGACCATCAGGTCTTCAAGGGGTACCGGCACTGAACCCACACATCTCCTCTTTGTGCCTTTAGATGAAACAAGGACGATGCTTGCAAACATAGGGGGTCCATTGCTTCCATCATGTTCACGAACTGACTCATCGCACCTCGAATGCCCCAACTTGTCTTCCTTTCACCTGCGCGCCCTCATCAGGGCATAGGGCGTCTCCAGAGTTGAGAGTCGAGTTGAACATCACTTTGACTACGGCACCTAAGGGTGGATCCTTTCCAGGATGGCCAAGGTAGTACTTCAGGATACTTCAGGCCTGATGTCAAGGAAGAGGAATACGACTCAAGACACAAACATATATATATATATCATATATACACAAAACAGACCAAACCAGCATTAGTGCTTGAATGCGGTGGCGGTGGGTGTCCTGTTGCGGCCCGGACGAGGCACCAAACACCACTGGAGGCTTGCTACTTTATGTTAGCCATCAACACCTCAAAACCTGGAAAAAGAGTCTTGGACCTCGTCCCATCTTCTGGTTCTTCCACTTTGGACCACATCCACCACCGGGTCCCGTGGGTGGTTCTTCATGTCTTGTTTGTTCGGCGCCTCTGAGGAACCAGCATGGCGGAGGGTGAGGTGGAGCATGAGGAATATGCCCGACAGCCCAGCTCCACGAGTCAAGTGGATCGGACGGATTCGGTCGGTCCATCGCACCCCAATGTCACTGGCCACTGGTCGGGATGGATGGGATGAGTGTCTTGGGAACCAAGAGATTGTTCAACCTAAGAGCAGTTGCGTAGATAAGTGAGATTGAGATCAATGGTGGTTCCGGGTCAGGATCGGTTCCAACACAGGCCTGCAGCTCCGAAAAGGGGGGGGCCAGCTTGCAGGTTGAGCCAGCTTGATGTCTCAATGCGCCATGTGGTGCCCTGTGTGCAGTTGACGATCCCTTGGTAAGGCCCAGCGAACATGCAGTTCCGGTGAACATGCTGCAGCTGCGAAAACCGACACTTGGATGGCTCCATGCGCCATGTGACGCACCATTCACACGGTTTTTGGACCAATCGTTGGCCGACACAGCTCAGGGCAAAGTGTTGTGTGTAGTCAAGGGGTTGAAAGCAGCTGGAGCAACACATGCAAGCCATGGGAGAAGTGATGTGGGCGCATGTCATGACAGTGGATGGACTTCCAGAGTGGCAGAGGAAATGGCAGAACAGCTTTGTGCCATCCAAGCCCACGGCTCCCACAACAGGAAGTCCAAGTGGAGAACCTCTTCGCTGTCTGGGGCCGTTTGTGCCGCTCCTCAACGCCTCGTTTGAAGCGAAACACCGAAGCATGAGCTGGTGGCGACCTTTTGCCTCGACTCAGCGCGTCAGCTGGCAGAACCACCTGGCAGCCAGGTCCTTGCTGATGCCCGTCCCATTCGCAAGCAGTTTTACTGTATGAAGCGTGTGCCCACGCTCATTGTGAACTTTGTCAATGTCCTTGGTCCTTGGTTTGAACACGAAATCTCGCTTCAATCTCGTCTCTGCACCCTGTGCTCGCCAAACTCATGCTACGCTTCGCGTGTAGCACGTTCGCACGAGCTCGAACAGCATCTTGCAGTCCGGCTGAATGGGGCGCTGCGGCGGACCATGTGCGCAACTTCAGCTCAAAATGGTGAGAGAGGTGCGTGGGTGGCTTTAGGCATAGAGCAGAGCCCGTGGAACAGGCACCCACAAGCTTCTCAAATCGAGGAGAGCCAGGGCCAAGCAAAAGCCTCCATTGCTACGTGGGCTGACTGTCGATTGGCACGCTTTTCAAAGATACGATGACGCACGTCCGATACTTCTTCTCTCTTGTCAGCCTGTCGGTAGCAGCTAACGTGTCCGACCAAAGTATGCGCACTTGGTCTGGCCCTCTTCCTTTCGGTCAGCCAATTGAATGCTGCAAAACGCAGCAAAAGCCATCGCAAGGCCTCCGCCAACCAGTGTTTGCAGAATTGATTACAGACGCGAAAATCCATGGTTTGGCATCAACAGAGAACAGCAGTGGACTGCAGTTCCACTTCAGAGTCTTTTTCAGACGCGAAGCCTACAATAAACTGGAAAGACGGGCCCCTTAGGCTGAAAAGGCCATGAGAGCCGCTTTGATCCCTTGTTTGGGGTATTCTGCATGTTCATGCATTTTTAATGCCTTTTCCCTGAGCAAATCCAGAGCCGACAGAAAACACCAACACAAAGAGACAAACTTCTTCGCCTCACTGAAAACGCCACTCGGTGCCTGTGCTTTGCGCCACTTTGCGTTGCGGCGCCGGATCGTCAGGTCCCGATCACACCGGACTATGTGAACCTCTTCACGGGGCCAGCCACAGGCGACGGGGGGGCACTGGGCAGTCCTTGCGGCCATTGAGCTCTAAGAAGTGGGCAAGGAACCTAGTAGCAAGGACACCTACTAGCGATGGTCTCCAAGCTAATAGCGTTTTGTACTGGATGTCCAGTGGATTCGAAGAAACCAGAGCTGCCATTCTGCACACATCTGGACCTGGGGCTTGTTCACTTGAAGCTCTTAGCGCAGGTTTCCTGTGTTCGCTGGACTCCAACGTCTACCAGCTCCAGTTTTTGGCACTTTGGCAAGAATTGGTGGCCGAGCTAAGTCATCGAACCGACCAAGTCCACCGTCGTTTTCAGGTCGTTCACAAGACCAACAACTGTAGACTCGCCAAAAGGACGGTAGATCCCAGCTTGAAGATGTTTCAAGTAGCCCCTCGAGTCAGACGCGCAATCTGACCGGTCATTCCGGTCTGGAACCATCAGACTCGAGGTTTTATAATTTCTATTTTGTCCAGCAACAGTTTTGAGTAGCAATGACTATAGCAATGAAGAACATGTAAACAAACAAGAGTTTGCGTACCAAGACAATAAGCCACGAAAGGACTTGCCCAAGATAGGAGGGCCATCACTGACACGCGTAAATCTAGAACATCAAGAGAATCCTCTTGATCTGGGGATGCTTGCTGATCCGGTTTTGACACATTGTAAGCCCTCCAATTTGGCGTAGTGTGAGACCCAAACGCCGTTCAGACAATTCTTTAGTTTGTAGCTAAATAGAGTTCGCCGTTTGATCCGCAAACACGACATTTATGACCATGCGTTTCAAAGTTGTTTATTCTTTTGCGAGTCATCACATCCAAAGATGCAGAACACGCCTAACCATGACAACCTTTGCACTGACCGAGGACTTCAAGATCAGATCTTTGGATGAAGGAGACACGGACCGGGGAATTTTGGGGGAAGCTCATGGGCTTCATCGGTCAATGCCGTGACCCAGAAGATCTCCCGAGATGATCAGACTCGTCTTTTTTTCCGGTTCGGTGACCCAGAACACCTACCATGACGGCGGTTTCAGTGGCCTCTCCGGTGGACCTATACCCGCGCTGAGAGGTCAACACCAGCTCTTTGGCTGTGCATGATACATCTCAACACAAGCTCTTGTCTTTAACGGATGCTTTGCGACAGTTACATGTGTCTCATTTTGAGCCACTCCGGATCCAACTTACTCATTTGCATACCCAGTCAAATGCCTTGTTTGTGTGATGGGCTGAACTCTGCATCCCTGTCTGACTCCTTTGTGGATTGAACAAAAGCCTGTACGAGACATTCCTATGTTTCTTGCACATGCTTTTAGGGAATTCAGCTTTTGTCCCCAAGTCTTCTGGATACAAACAGAAAACAAACTATTCTTCTTCAGCGATATGCACCTGTTCCAGCTGTGTACGGGAAGCCGAGCAAACCCGGCCAAAACAAAACTGGTTTGTACTTCAACTGA